GGTGTGGAGTACACATCACACCTCTCTCCTTCTCACTCTTCAAACATATCTCCCTCTCCCACTTCCTCTCCTCCCTCTCCTATCTCCTTTTCCCCCTCTCAGAAAAATTATATAACGAATCACTGAAACTGGTAAATAGGTCTACCGATAACTCAGTCAATATTTCGTACTTCATAATAATTGCTCGGGGGGGGGGGGGGGTTAGATACCAATATTTCTAAAAGTGTGGCACTGGAGCCGACCTCGACTGGCCTATGACCCTCCCATACCCCACATGCTTCATGTGTGAAAGTTGTGCAAGACTAGCTCTAGGCGTCTGATCTCCATCCTTGGACAAACAGGCATACTCTTGTATAGATAATAATAGGTTTATCATCCATATACTATCCTACTATGGCGCTTTCTGATAGTATATTCCCCCTTGGTATTTTATGCATAGTAACAAGCTGATATATTGTGTAATACAGGTGGATATACTTGGCTGTTGTGGTGCGCGAGTCATTTGTTTGGTGGCCTGGCGGACGGGGCGCAGGAGAACGAGCTGACAGCTCTCTTGATCCTCCATATTTTATGTTCCCAGACTCTTGCTGTTTTTGTCTGGCTCTCAGATTTGCTAGACTCCTTGTTACGGTGTGACAAGATGGGGGAAGAGGCGCAAGCGTCGAGAGCCAGGCTTGGCGTTACAGGTGTAGGTAGTGTAACGTGGTGACACAAGAGAGGCAGGTGTGACAACAGAGCTGTGTGGGGCGAGGGGGGACGTCATCTCCTCCCGCTCTACATGCTCTATTGACTGGCTGGGAGATGTTGTGAGCGGCCCGCCACTCTGACGTCATCGGTATTAATAAAAGTCACACAGGAGGGCCGTTGGTGGTCGCTTGCAGGTGTGTGGGCAGGCGTGTGGCAGGTGTGTGGACAGGCGTGTGGCAGGTGTGTGGACAGGCGTGTGGCAGGTGTGTGGACAGGCGTGTGGCAGGTGTGTGTACAGGTGTGTGGACAGGTGTGTGGCTGGTGTGTGTACAAGAGTGTGGCTGGTGTGTGTACAGGAGTGTGTGTGTAGGTCGCTGTCGCTGGACTTGTGATCCTGTGGTCCTGGGTTCGATCCCAGGCGCCGGCGAGAAACAATGGGCAAAGTTTCTTTCATCCTATGCCCCTGTTACCTAGCAGTAAAATAGGTACCTGGGTGTTAGTCAGCTGTCACGGACTGCTTCCTGGGGGTGGAGGCCTGGTCGAGGACCGGGCCGCGGGGACACTAAAGCCCCGAAATCATCTCAAGATAACCTCAAGATCTCAAGATAGGTCCCACACCCTCACCCACAATAAGTGTCGCTCTCTCACCAAGTCACCAACTCAGTGGATCATACCTGCAGGTCGACGCGCGACCAATCAGGTCCCAGGGAATATATGATGCTGATAGCTACGTACTCAAGGACGGTTATACCACGAGAACCAGCTCAGATCCTGGTACACGTTGCCACGTTTAGTGACATGTCTTTGCAACCTTTCCCAGTTTATCGACGTGTGTCTTGAGATATGGGCACTATACAACCTCTGTATATTCCGGTTTTGGTCTCACAAATATCATGAACAATTTATTTTTATATTGCACCATATATAAAGTTGGAATATGCAACATTGCACTGGCACAATGCTCATTATGTGGTTCTCGGGTGACAGTTTACCTAGCAGAAACATCCCTAGATCTCTTTCTATCTTAGAGTTCATTAATGTCCTTTCACATAGGATGTGTAGAGCCTATTTTCTTCTATTCCACATTCCATGACGGGCATTTATTCACAGTTAATTCGGTCTGGCAAGTGTTGCTCCATACACATATATTGTCCAGGTCATCTAAATAGCCATGACAGTCGGTTTATTCAATTATTTGCTCTAGTAGGTGAGCATTATCAACAAACATGTTCATTTAACTCTGTATCTCATTTGATACACGGCGTGATAATTGTCCACGACGGACCCAAACGTCGTCGCTTCTACTTTTTCAGTTGTGAGGTTGGATATGACCTCTTCAACCATGTTATTGTGGTGACCAGACCACTCACTAGAAAGTGAAGGGATGACGACGTTTCGGTCCGTCCTGGACCATTCTCAAGTCGATTGTGATGGTCCAGGACGGACCGAAACGTCGTCGTCCCTTCACCTTCTAGTGTGTGGTCTGGTTAACATAATTCAGCCACGTTATTGTGACTCCTCGTCTGCACGTTATTATGGCTCGTCTCCAGCTGATAGATCATTTATAACCAGCGCTTATCATCTAACTCTAACCCGTCATCTCACTCTCTTATCTTTCTTCTCACTCTTATCATTTTTTTTTAAATTTCTCCCACTCTTTTTCCATTAAACGACTTGATTGTTCGTCCAGGACGAACCCAAGCGTCGTCAGATCTTTTTATTTTCAGAGTTGCATGTTGAGTGTCGATAAGAGCTTCCTCTAAGATGACCATAGTGTGTGTTAAGTCATTGTTTTCAAGCTTCTCTACGCATTTGGTTTGAACTATTTATTCTAGAGATTTAATATGGAACTTGCCGACGATACGGGTCTATAATTTAGAAAGTCTTCTCTACTTCCATTTTGTGTATTAAATCTGTCTTTTTTCCGTGTATCTCTGTAGATTTCTGTACGTAAAGATGTCTGAAAAAATCAGTTGTATTGGAATGCAGATGCGAATTCCCTCAGGACTCAAGGGAGACCCCAACTGGGCCGAGTGATTTGCTACTTCATAGCTCATTGAATAGTTTTTCTTACCTAGTATTTGGGTATTTTTATGCACTCTGTTGTTCTCTGTAATCCGTATTACACTTCGGTTTCTATTTACCTCATTTTACCAACAGACACACTTTAGAACTGGCCATTTAGGGTTCCAGTCATTTAATTTATATTCTCTGTGAAGCTGTTCCCCATTTTCAACTGGATTTTATCCTCTATATGCAACTTGCTTGTACTGAATTTATAGAATAGGTCTCGTATCGATTTGCATTTGTCCGCAATCCCTTAAAGTTTCTTTCTGTCTCTTCTGACAGTCGTGTAGGTGTTTCTTGGTTGCTTGTGTTGCTGGGGCCAGATTCACAAAGAAGTTACGCAAGTACTTACGAACCTGTACATCTTTTCTCAATCTTTGGCGGCTTTGTTTACAACTATTAAACAGTTAACAAGCTCCGAGGCACCAGGAGGCTGTTTATAACAATAACAACAGTTGATTGGGAAGTTTTCATGCTTGTAAACTGTTTAATAAATGTAATCAAAGGCGTCAAAGATTAGGGAAAGATGTACACGTTCATAAGTGCTTGCGTAACTGCTTCGTGAATCTGGCACCTGGTGTGTTTGACGGTTAGGCATATTCCTCTTGCTCTCTGGTCCTTTAACAATTTCTATTCAACCAATCCTATTTTCTAGTTGTGTATCTCTGTTTTGTGTATACATCTTGTTAAACCTTCGTCATATAACTCACAAAATTGGCATACATCTCATTAACTTACTTCCTTAAAGTATCTTTCTTTATCGAAATCGAAAATTTATCGAAAATTATCGAAAATTTTCACTAATCTTTTCAAGATTAGAAATTTTTCGATTTCGAAGATTTCGATGTTTTTTTTCATCTAAATCATTGAAGAACGATAGTGTGCCCTTGTGGAATGAAGTTTTCATTTCTTTCACTTTCTCCATTCTCCAAAAGAATACGGTCGCTCATGCCCAATGAAGGAAGATTATGAATGTCAAATATCTCCTCTTCTTTCAGGTAAATACCAAATCCAGCAATGATGGAGCAATCTTCCCTCATTCTAAGACCCCTATTTAACATGTTGATACATAAATGTCGCCAGGATGAGGTTTGACGAATCAACCAGTCCAGATGTCTTCCGTTCTTGCTCCGTAGTCCATTGATATCAAATTGAAGTCACCAAGTAGGAACGATCGTGATTTATCTTATCTTTATCTGTGTTTAGATAAAGTGTTGCTGATGGACTGAAAGACATTAATGAGTATCACTTTACAGTCCTCGTTACTGATCTCTAGTGTCATCCTGTCTACTTCTCGTGCGTAGTTAAGTATTAATTCACTTACGGAATTAATTTACTTAAATCCTTATTACTTATTTTGTTCAGAAGGAAATCAACACCTGAACTTTTTCTTATTCTTCTGCTGCGTCTCTAAATTGAGTTGCACGTGTGTGATTGTGTGTGTGTGTGTGTGTGTGTGTGTGTGTGTGTGTGTTTACACAGGTAAATGAGGGCGAGAACACCTTGGAGAAAAATGTTTCAGTCAGCTTCAGTGGTTTCTCAGATATTAATAATTTTCAGAAATAGTAAGACTCATATATTTCTCAGAAAAAAAAATATATTGTGTGATTCATATATTTATGATAAATATATATATATTGTGTGACTCATATATTTATGAGTCTCGCCTGTGTGTCTGAACTTTAGGTGTATTACGATTGCTTACTTCTTAATTATATAACAAAGTTATATGGAAACGATGAATTCCTGTCTATTGACATGATAGATGTGTGTTTGTCATGTCTGGGAGATAGATGTCCACCCTCCCGCTTACTGATAGGGTAGTACAACGATTAACACTAATATTTTGTCCTATCTATTGTTCTAGTATAATTAAATAACATTAACACTGTCCTCTTAATATATATATATTTTTTGCAGTGTAACCAAGGAACATTCAACCTATGGGTACAACAGGTTCAGGTGTTGTTCCAGTATAACCAAAGTTGTTGATTACATATGTGTAAATGTAACATTTGCCTAATTACCTTTATTTACCTGTGTTTATCCCAGTAAACAGGCAACATTACCACAACCTTTTTAACTTTATTACATTATGGGGCGTTGTTCTAACGTTATTAGTGACCATAATAAGGAAAACCAGGTTGTGGGTTAGGTTGTGAGTATGCCTGGTTATGCTAGTGTCTTCCCCCCCTATACCCCCTCCCCCACTATACATAGTCGAGCAGAATGTTCCTTAACTACTAACCACTCCGTTCGAGTACGCGGTGCTGTTGACGATCATCGCCAACTGCATCGTTTTGGCGCTGGAAGAACATCTTCCCGAGGGCGATAAGACGCTTCTCGCGCAGGACCTGGTACGCTGTCTCCTGTCCTGCCTCCTGTCTCCTGCCTCCTGTCCTCCCTCCTGTCTCCTGTCTCCTGTCCTGCCTCCTGTCTGTCTCCTGTCCTGCCTCCTGTCTGTCTCCTGTCCTGCCTCCTGTCTCCTGTCCTGCTGTCTGTCTCCTGTCCTGCCTCCTGTCTGTCTCCTGTCCTGCCTCCTGTCTCCTGTCTCCTGTCCTGCCTCCTGTCTGTCTCCTGTCCTCCCTCCTGTCCTCCCTCCTGTCTCCTGTCTCCTGTCCTGCCTCCTGTCTGTCTCCTGTCCTGCCTCCTGTCTGTCTCCTGTCCTGCCTCCTGTCTGTCTCCTGTCCTGCCTCCTGTCTGTCTCCTGTCCTGCCTCCTGTCTGTCTCCTGTCCTGCCTCCTGTCTGTCTCCTGTCCTGCCTCCTGTCTCCTGTCTCCTGTCCTGCCTCCTGTCTGTCTCCTGTCCTCCCTCCTGTCTGTCTCCTGTCCTGCCTCCTGTCTCCTGTCTCCTGTCCTGCCTCCTGTCTGTCTCCTGTCCTCCTCCTGTCTGTCTCCTGTCCTGCCTCCTGTCTGTCTCCTGTCCTGCCTCCTGTCTGTCTCCTGTCCTCCCTCCTGTCTGTCTCCTGTCCTGCCTCCTGTCTGTCTCCTGTCCTGCCTCCTGTCTGTCTCCTGTCCTTCCTTCTGTCTCCTGTCCTGCCTCCTGTCTGTCTCCTGTCCTGCCTCCTGTCTGTCTCCTGTCCTGCCTCCTGTCTGTCTCCTGTCCTGCCTCCTGTCTGTCTCCTGTCCTGCCTCCTGTCTGTCTCCTGTCCTGCCTCCTGTCTGTCTCCTGTCCTGCCTCCTGTCTCCTGTCCTGCCTCCTGTCTGTCTCCTGTCCTGCCTCCTGTCTGTCTCCTGTCCTTCCTTCTGTCTCCTGTCCTTCTTCCTGTCTGTCTTCTGTCCTCCCTCCTGTCTGTCTCCTGTCCTCCCTCCTGTCTCCTGTCCTTCCTTCTGTCTCCTGTCCTGCTGTCTGTCTCCTGTCCTTCTTCCTGTCTCCTGTCCTTCTTCCTGTCTGTCTTCTGTCCTCCCTCCTGTCTGTCTCCTGTCCTCCCTCCTGTCTGTCTCCTGTCCTCCCTCCTGTCTGTCTCCTGTCCTCCCTCCTGTCTGTCTCCTGTCCTCCCTCCTGTCTGTCTCCTGTCCTTCCTCCTGTCTGTCTCCTGTCCTTCCTCCTGTCTCCTGTCCTTACTCCTGTCCTCCCTCCTGTCCCATATCATCCACCCCCAGTGTTCCATAAGGCTCAGAATGCTACCTAAGACTGTAGTATTTCAGGAGGTTATGAGACAGTGGGACGGGTGTTGTAGGGGGGTGAGATCCTCCCCCGTCTACCTTGTTTCTTCCTGTCCTCTACCACCCGTCTACCTTTATTCTTATTATTGTTGTTATTATTATTATTATTATTAACTTATATGTAGAGCATTTTGACATTGTTATGCCCAGTGCTAGTTGCTTAAGTTTTGATATTATATAATAGATTACCAGCGATGCATGTGAAACTGATTATATATATATATATATATATATATATATATATATATATATATATATATATATATATATATATATATATATATATATATATATATAATCATATTTTGTGTGTATGCATTCCTAGCGAAGCACTAATGACGTAGCACATAAAGGCAGGATGCACCATCTGTTGGTCGGAACTCTGGAGTCTGATAGTGATCTTAACAACGGCATCAATACTATCACTATCAACAACTCTACCGCCGTCATCACCATCATCAATACTGTCACCACTATCACTCAACAACACTACCAATGTCATCAATATCATCACCATCATCACCATCACCACCATCACCATCATCATCACCACCACCATCACCACCACCACCACCACCACCACCACCACCACCACCACCACCACCACCACACCACCATCACCACCATCACCACCACCACCATCACCACCATCACCACCACCAACACCAACACCAACACCACCACCACCACCACCACCACCATCACCACCACCACCACCACCACCATCACCACCACCACCACCACCATCACCACCACCACCACCATCACCACCATCACCACCATCACCACCACCACCACCACCATCACCACCACCATCACCACCATCACCACCATCACCACCACCACCACCACCATCACCATCACCATCACCACCACCACCACCACCACCACCACCACCATCACCACCACCACCATCACCACCACCACCATCACCACCACCACCACCATCACCACCACCACCACCATCACCACCATCACCACCATCACCACCACCATCACCACCATCACCACCATCACCACCACCATCACCACCACCACCACCACCATCACCACCACCACCACCACCACCACCACCACCATCACCACCACCACCACCATCACCACCACCAACAACACCACCACCACCATCACCACCACCATCACCACCACCACCATCACCACCACCAACAACACCACCACCAACAACACCACCACCACCACCACCACCACCACCACCACCACCACCATCACCACCACCCCCACCACCACCACCACCACCATCACCACCACCACCACCATCACCACCACCACCACCACCACCACCACCACCACCACCACCACCATCACCATCACCACCACCACCACCACCATCACCACCACCATCACCACCACCATCACCACCACCACCATCACCACCACCACCACCACCACCACCACCACCACCACCACCACCACCATCACCACCACCACCACCATCACCACCATCACCACCACCACCACCACCACCACCACCACCATCACCACCACCACCACCACCACCACCACCACCACCACCACCACCACCATCACCACCACCACCACCACCACCACCACCACCATCACCACCACCACCACCACCACCATCACCACCATCACCACCACCACCACCATCACCACCACCATCACCACCATCACCACCACCATCACCACGACCACCATCACCACCATCACCATCATCACCACCACCATCACCACCACCATCACCATCATCACCATCACCAACAACACCACCACCATCACCACCACCACCATCATCACCATCACCATCATCACCACCACCATCACCACCACCATCACCACCACCACCATCACCAACAACACCACCACCATCACCACCACCACCATCATCACCACCACCACCATCACCATCACCACCACCACCACCACCAACAACACCACCTCCTCATATTATCTACTCACGTTTAAAGTTAGCTTTTAAGAAACTCTTCCACTGGAGTTATCGAGCAAATTAAAATACATTAACGTTGTAAAAATACCAACGTTTGCTGATAAGTATATATTAATAATGACAATAATATATCAATAATATAATGCTCCACCTGTCACCATTAGCAGCAAACTCTTATCAACTTAATTCTCTTTACACCGAAACGTTTGTGCAGTATCGATAAGCCCATATATTGTAAATACTTTTCTCCAAGGAGATCTCGGTATAAATCATTAGTGTAAACTGTGATATACAGTAGTACAATAGTTATGACCACTCGTGGCTCAATCACTATCTATCGCCACTAGTCTATCTGCAGTCTATCGATATACAGTAGTACAATAGTTATGACCACTCGTGGCTCAATCACTATCTATCGCCACTAGTCTATCTGCAGTCTATCAGTAATTCCGGTTTTCCCTGTAGGCTTAATTTCGGTAATTTATAAATAATCACTATCCCGGCTTCGCTTCCAAAGTTATTGCATAAACTATGGAATAAAAGTAATACAACTTATAAGAAGTATATTATTAGTGAGACGCGCGTTTAGCGAACTCTTCTCATCAGCAGCGGCTGTGTAAGTCGCTCGGAGTAAGCAAGTAACCTCGGGGAGTAAGGTTAGTTGTATCCTCCTTGTCCCATTATTGTGCCCTCTGTTGTTCCATCCTTGTGCACCCTGGTGAGTGATCCCTGTATGTGTTGGTGTACACCTCCGCCCCACACACACACACACACACACACACACACACACACACACACACACACACACACACACACACACACACACACACACACACACACACACTGTCCTCATCTCCCATTGTGAGGTTGTACACGGCATCGTTAGGGTGAGATAACTACTGGTATGAGCCTGTTCGCTGACGACCCACAAATCTAGCTTCAGTTAGAGGATGTGTTTGATACCTTGTACTCACATCTTCAAGAGGATATGTTGCTATTTAAGACCATGGGGTGGACTAGGTGAGGGGAGACCCGAGGGCTGCCCAGATAGGGTCAGTATGACAGCTCTGTCATGTCGCCAGTGCCCTCAGCTGTCATTCCTCAGGTCTGTCAGTGCTTTTAGCTGTCACGACTCTGGTTTGACAGTTCTAACAGCTGTCATGACCCGTAATTGTCTTACCATGGCTTGAAGTATCCTAAGATAAGAGGCTAACCAGAGAAGATCAACAGGAAATCAACACCGAAACTTTAAACGATCCAAGGGTCATGATTACCTTGTCAAGGGAACTCTAACTTAGTGATGTTATGAGTGTGGGGCAGCGCCTCATAATGTGTAGTGAGGCATGTGGACGCCTCATAATGTGTAGTGAGGCATGTGGACGCCTCATAATGTGGTGATGGAAGGACTATGGGAGAGATTATATAGTGTGACTACAAGCACGACGCGGACCCGTGCTGGCAGGTTGCCTAGCCTCCTAGCAGGTTGCCTAGCCTCCTAGCAGGTTGCCTAGCCTCCTAGCAGGTTGCCTAGCCTTCTAGCAGGTTCCCTGGCTTCCTAGCAGGTTCCCTGGCCTCCTAGTAGGTCTCCTAGCCTCTTAGCAGGTTCCCTGGCTTCCTAGCAGGTCTCCTAGCCTCTTAGCAGGTTCTCTAGCCTCCTACCAGGTCCCCTGGCCTCCTAGCAGTCTCCTAGCCTCCTACCAGGTCTTCTAGCCTCCTAGCAGGTCCCTTGGCCTCCTAGCAGGTTCTCTAGCCATCTAACAGGTCC